TCCAATGCCCTGGTAATGCAGGCTTTCTGACTTTGGTTTGTGACCATCCCTTGTTTTTTGTTTGTATGTTTGATGGGTTGACCGGGCTGCTGAACCATGAATAACATACTTGCACAGTGTACAACGGCCACGGTCAATATCGATAGAGTCCTATGCTGCATTTGCAAAGGCGATCCTGTCGGTTGTGGGCTGCCTGTATCGTCGCACTAAGTGAAGCATAAGGAAGGCCCAAGCAAGGGACCTACATGACCATGGGTCAAAATCCCGTACCCCCAGTGAACATCCCAATCCCCACTAAAAAGACTAAAATGGCCCAAAATGATACCATTGGTTTTGACCCACAGCCACATCTTGGGTAAGCTCAGGATGCTTCCAGGCGTGCTCGTTATATATTTTTTGCGGAGGCGCATCCTCCGTTCTAGGGGTAGCTTCCATTTCCACTCTTTCCAGCAATCCTTCTTTCTACAAAACCACCCAAAACCCTGTGGAAACAGCTAGTTATTGAAAAGAATGACGGTTGAAACGAATGGGGAATCGACCCCTAGATCCATGCGAAAACGGAAGACTCTCGGTTTTCTCTCTTTTCAACAGCAATGGAAGCGCACTGGTTGGTTTTGGAAGGCTACCGCCGCTGTGAACAGTTGTTATTTCCACTTCCAGGATTGTTGCGCAGGAGCGCGGCGGCCACAGGGAAAGAATAGACCCATTTTGTCAGTAATTTGCTGATGTTTAGAGGGACCCCCCCTCAAAAAAGGGTTGAACAGGAAGGTCTGTGGTAAAAAGGCTTGCGTGAACTTGGGCTTCTCTGCGGGGAAGAAAGATGGAAAGCCGTGCGGGCGGAATCTTGATGTGTGATTTCTTGGACACAACGATGGTGCTGACGGACGATAACCCAAACTGAAGCGGAACCCTCAGCTTTCCACGAATTGGTGGCCGAAGAATTGCTGTTTTGCTGGTCAAGGTGTAGTTTCCCCTGGGGGTTTCCCCTTTACCCTCAACAAGAGGCTCAAATCCCCAAACCCAAACCAAACCAAACCAAAGTTGGATACCTGAGACCAAACCCGAGCCATCGAGCTCCCATTTCCCCGGCCTCCGGGGGGCCATCTGCCTCAAACTTCAGCGACTGGATGGCCGATGTCCGACACCGAAACCCAGGGACTGCGACTGGAAGCCGCTTGCCCAAAGTAAAGACTTGAAGGGTCGACTGGGATGCGATTGCCCCTGCGTAATTCTTCGACTGGAAACTGTTGGAAGCCAATTGGTCATTGGTGTACTGCTGTGATGGCACAAAATGAGTTTGAAGGGTACCACCAACCCAGCAAACAATTCTTGGTTTCAACATGAAACTCAAAGTAGTGCATCAAATCGTCCAGTATCATGAATCCGGCTCAGTTCTCAAGCACGCGAGACCTTAACATGATGAGATACAAGCACGTGCAAAGCGACGATACAACGCTCGCAAAGCACTGCAGCAAGAACAGTCAACTGAACAAATCCATGGACTACTGCTAGAGCAGTGACAGGAGCGCTTTGCGTGTAACAACCTGAACAAGATCAGATGTACAGGTAAGAGCGCCTTGAGTATAAGGACAAAGTGCAACTTGAGGAGGCCCTCGGGGCGTCTTCGGCGCCCTTCGCCTAAGCGTGTATCTGGCACGTCACAACCCATGTCACACATCCTCACGTTTGCATGTGAGGGCCTGAGACTAAACTGCACGGCAGCTTGATCCTGCCAATCCTGAGCGCTCCTCGTGAGGGCGGCTTTGCGTCACGACCACTTGAGGCACTTTTGGTACCTTGAGATTCCGAGTAGAATCGCTGCCATCAACATCCTGCTTCCTTCAAAAGAAAGCCTTCCTTTGTCTCTAAACTTTTTGAGGGGTTGAGGCCTCAAGAAGTCTTCGACCATGTCATTCAACTGAATCCTTTTCAGTAATCAAACCCAAGGAAGGGCTCCCCAGGCAAATTCCCACCACCAAAGGCACCAACTTATTGGGGTGTTCAAAGGGAAACCAAAAGGAAGCCGACCATTGAGGGTCCCAGTCCTGGGTGGCCCTTTTGGACAAGCAGCTGGGTTTCCCTCATAAATTGAAGAAAGACCATTCTAGACCAGTGGAATCCCAATGTCTGATCAATCTGAACTAAAAAGCGCTAGGGTCTCAGTCCCCCTCTTGAATATCTAAGTCGCTGGGGGAAAAAAAACGGAGAAAAAACAAAAAAAAAACAGCGGAGGCCGTGAACACATGCCATCGCCCTGAGCTTCCGGCCCGCAGGATGGCACGGAGGGTGCCGGCCTAGCGGCGCGAATGGCTGACATCACCGTCCAATACTTCGCACTCCGCGCAGCTCGGAGTCGGCGATCCCTTGCCGAGCTGTAGATCTGCCAGCAAAAAGCTATAAACTGTTTTGCTGGTTAAAAGGAAATATGAGGGGAACCCAAAAAGTTAAAGTTTCAAAATCCAACCCAATAGCAGTAGAGCTGAGTGTTTTGACTTGTGGGAAATGGTGTCATTCTTCCCGCTGAACTCTAGCTCACAGTCGCACGCTGTGGGAACCGATCAGTTGCTGCATCGCCTTGCCCCTCGATGCCCCAACGACGCTCGGAACTTGGCGAAAGCTGGACCAGGCCATGGACAAGTTTGATCCAGATAATACATACATATATATATATATGGTCTTATTATGCATAATATTTGTATGTATATGCTATCTATTATATGTACATGAACCCCGCAGTATTGACCCCTGCTTGGTTGTTTCACCGCTGAACTCTTTCCTTGGGTCCATAGCTTTTGACCCTTCCCACCTCGTTGGATTCCAGCATGTCAGCTGCGCGGGCCAGGGACCGCTGGATCTGGCGGATGCGGAAGCAGTTGCGCCTGGCACAGCCAGAAACGCAAAACAACTGCGAAAGGGGGGATCCCTCCATGGGTGGTTTTCGTTTTGGCTTCCCTCTGAAAGCGAAAGGGGTTGGCGTGTTGTGTGTATAATTCTTTTTTTGTGGGGTACCCTTCTGTTTGCTTTTTTTGAGAGGGAAGCCAAAGGGAAAGCCACCAATGGAGGGGTCCCCGAACAAAGACACCCGCCCAAATGACCCTTCCCGTTTTGGTTTGCCTGGGATAGGCTGTTTAGCACCTGTTAAAGGGCAGGGTTGGCAATTGACTCATTGCATCAGGGCTGTTTCTTTGGCCAATGGCGAGCGCCTCGAAGGTCGGGTTCTTCTGTGAGACAAATCCCGAAGTCAAGCCCGTCTTCATGCATACTGACTTCGGATGAATCCGGACCGTATGATACGGTTCCCCTACTAAAAGTAGGGAAATCAACGATAGGAGCTTCCTCCTGACCAGTGGGGTTCTCCGGAGAAATCCGAAGCTCACATTACCCTCTCTGCGGGAGCACTTTACTCCATAAGGATATGTGTCGCCCAACCAGATTGAAGAGAAGTCAGAAAAGGTCCGGAGCCTATGGTGCAGTCTTGCCGTACTTCACCAGTGGGTCCAAATGAAATAGTAACCATGTTAGCCGTGTTAGCCCGTGAGGACCTGTGATCGAATTATTCAACACCCTCTTCAGAGGTGTCAAAGCATCTGAAGAGCGAGGGCCCGTTCATCGCTCATCTGCAGTCAAAGCCCAAAGGGAATGAGCAGACTTGGGCCTGCCATCTAAGCATCACAACGCAGTCCTCGAAAAAACTGCAACCCGGAGAAAGGTAACGGCATGGTTTCTGGCGACAATGGCTCGCTGAGCATCTGCTATGATGGTCAACTAGAAGACATGGATTTACCCTCCCACCAACTAACATGGAAGTGCGCACAGCCCCTTTCCAAGAGGAAAGTCGTCTCTCAACGGGGGTCTGTGCACTTCCATGTTAGTCAGCGGGAGGGTACCCTCACGCCTAACATAACACCTGACAAAGAGTCCCTACAAGAGGAACAGATCTTCCAAGTACCCTTCCACAAAGGCCTTGTGCTAGTGGATGTTTGTGGAAGGGAGGGGAACCAGTTTCACCACACGAACTCTGCAACCACCTCGTCCCTATCCCCCACCCCCCACCGCCCCCGACCCCAGATCTTTGGCTCCCCTAGCAATGGCCATTGCACATTGCGAATCATGGCAAGCGTGCCCGACGTTGTTCGTCGGATTCACTGGATCCTCAACCTCGGCAGGAAATCCACAAAATCTGCAATTTTCACAGTATATGTCCAAACACTTGGCAAAAAGGCTGCGCTTTAACATGTTTTCTCAACGCGAGCTCTCCACAAACATAGGCAGGGGACCCTCAAAATTGGTGGTTGCCCTATTGATGTCCCTTTTGATTTCCCTTTTGATTTCCCTTGAAACCCTGCTAAAAAGGGGACCCTCAAAAAAACAAACCCGTATGTTTCATATCAATATGCAATTCTTGAGCAGTGCCTCCGCAGTTTAACTATCTCCTCCTGGATCCCCCAATGATCCATATCTGCGCACTCTGTGGCATTAGAAGGAAGACCTGGGCCGCTGGGAATGTGCTCAAATGTGGACCTAATCAACAGCCTTGCGGTTTCTTTTTGCCCTTCCTAGCCACTGCCAACGCCAAACCCCAGTACAGAAAAGACCTTACCAAAAAACACAGCAGGTTTGGAGAGGAGGGGGTTCTGCCACTTCAATCTCTGTTGGGGAATTCCCCCTAACAGGTTTGCTCTTTCCGCAAGGGCAGAG